GATGAATGGCAAAGAAAGTGTAACCTCTTTCTAATCAATTACAAAAATAATGATTAATAAATCAAATGTGTCAAAATGCACTACGTATAAATGCTATATTAAAAAGTATGTGTTGAAAAACAAATCCCCTCGTTCTCATATGAAAAGATCTTTCCTCTTCCTTCATTGCATACATGCACCATCCTGTACTCCGCTGGTTAAACTTCCATGTCTCTAGCTCCTCATTGTGGATCTCAGCACTTTTCATTTCCTTAACTGACAGCTGCAAGCTGTGGCTAACATCTTCATTAATGATCTGGATGATGGGGCGGAGTGTATCCTCAGCAAGTCTGCATGTGACACAAAACTGGAAGGAGTGGCTGATACACCAGGGGGTCATGCTGTCATCCAGAGGGACACTGAGAGTCTGGAGAAATGGTCTGACAGGAACCTCATGTAGTTCAACAAGGAGAAGCGCGAAGTCCTGCACCTGGGGAGGAACAACCCCATGCATGACTATATGCTGGGGCCCACCCAGCTGGAAAGCAGCTCTGCAGAAAGGGACCTGGGAATCCTTGTGAACACCAAGTTGAACATGAGCCAGCAACGTGCCCTTGCGGCAAAGAAGGCAAATGATGTCCTGGGCTGTGTTAGGAGGACTTGCCAGCAGGTCAAGGAGGTGATCCCCTCTGCTCAGCACTGTTAAGGCCATACCTGGAGTGCTGTGTTCAGTTCGGGGCTCCCCAGTACGAGAGAGACAGGGACAAACTGGAGAGAGTCAAACATCAGGAAACTTTTTTTTTTATGGCAAGGGTGACTGAGCACTGGCACAGGTTGCCCAGGGAGGTTGTGGAGTCTTCCTCCTTGGAGATATTCAAAATCTGTCTGCACATGGTCCTGGGCAACCTGCTCTAGGTGGCCCTACTTGAGCAGGGGCTTGGACCAGGTGAATTCCAGAGGTCCCTGCCGACCTCAACCATTCTGTGATTCTGCAAAGCTGGAGTGGGAGCTGCTGTCTAGAGAACAGCTGTTTGTTTGATTTCTGGCTCTCCTTCCTTCCCTTTCCTCTCCTCCTGCTCCCCTCCACCCTGGTAAAATATAATTTTTCTGACCAGCTGGAGAACCTGGTAAGAAAGTGATATTGTTTCTACATGAGAAGTTGCTGTGTAATTATTGATATGATTTTTAGTACCAACCAAGGACAATTTCTTATAGTTATGAGAATTTTGAAACAACTTGACAGGAACCTACATCTTTACCTAGTAAAAGAAGGAGCCAAATTCTGTTTCCTAAGCCCATTGTAAATGTAGGGATTGAGAAAAATGCATTAGTGATATCAACTGTGGCCACTTGCCTGGCTGCCTTTGACTCCAATTCGTATTGAAGTTCTAGCATGTCTG